TAGAGCCCTATTGAAGTTCCAAAGTAAACCTGAATTGGTTTAAAAGCATTCTAAAAGGTTTCCAATTCTAACCGTTATTGTTCTAAAATATCTCTGAAGTTTCTAAATTATTCCAAAATGCTCCATTCTAATGCCCGTATTACATCTGTGTTTTTTTCCGTGTATTTATTCATGTAGTTCAGGGTGACAACCGAAAAACTTCAAACGCATTATAAGTCAACATTATGAAAAACAAAATAATGTTGGCACCCTGAACTTCATGAATAAATACACGGAAAAATACACAGATATAATCAACGATTATCGCACGCTGCAGCGTGCATAAAATTATGTTTATCGTATTTTTGACAGTAATGTGATATATAACTGAAGTGGTAAAGTGCCACTTTACCTCGATAGCAACACTTTACCACATAGCAACGTCATTGATAGCAACCATTTTGTAAATCAAACTTCATTTGTTAAGCCTTATTCACAGTGTGCGAAATTGCAGCATTTCGCAATTTCACGCCAATCAAATAAATTAAAAATAGGAAATAGTTATTTTATTTCTGGTTATTATAAAAATTGATAATATAATTATTAACTTCTATTTTTTGCGTTTGCCGGATAGACGAATCGGAATGTTGATCCAGGACAACCCCGCCTGAAACAATAAAAAGCGATCGTTCTTTAAAGTGTCGTGTAGAAGAACCTTAAAACTTGACAATGTCAATGTCATGAAAACTAAATTTGTATTTCAAATTTCTATCAAAATTTAGCAAAAAATATCTTATGAACACAGGATTTGAAACAGTTATATTTAATTGATTTACCTTTTCATAAAAAAAAACCAACATGAGGTCCTCATTTGGCACTTCTTCCTCGTTATTCATTAATTTCCATTGACGGAATTGGTCATATTCTTTCTCATACTTTGATTTTGAATTCTCAGGCAGCAGCCTTGCTGTAGCAGCAGGACCTGCTTCCAAAATTTTCGAATTCATTTCACTGGACGCCATAGACTGGACGCGGTTCCGAAAATTCTTTCTGATTTTTTGTTTGAATAATGTCACAGGTTCCTAAGTTACCGAAAAGAAAAACCATTTCTCAATTATTTGAAGACAAAATGCGATAAAATAGTATAAGCAACGCATTTGCAAAGGGTTTTACCAATATCGTGAGGCCTTAGAGCACTCGCTCGCTTCGCTCGCTCGTACACAAAACTAGCCACACTCAATTGGTAAAACCTCACTATACTAAACTTGTTGCTTAATATACTATTATGATGCGTCTACCTTTTGCTATAGAAACGTTCGATCTACCTTCATTACCTAGACATTTACCTGCATACCTGCCATTCAAATTACTACTTATCAAAATGAATGAACACTTTTAAAACATTTTTGAGATTATGATGCATTCGTAATAAAAAATAGCGTATGATATGCGTGTATAAGAGGGCATTTAAAGCCCTTGCGACTTACAAAACTCTCCGCTGCGCGTCGTGTTTTCAAATATGTCGCGCGTGCTTTAAATGCCCTCTTATACACTTATATCATAATATACTGTCGCGGCTTTGGGTTGCCTGCTGACAAAAATCTTGGGTTCGTTGTTCGTTTCGTTTATTCCAAAAATCAAAGTCCAATTAACACAGCAATAATTTATTCCACTTAACAAAACACTCTGACACTAATTACTTTACTAACTCAACAATTAAACTCTTTACAATCACTATTTAAATCGTATCACACTCGAACTGAAACTAAACTTACAAATCAATTCCGGCCTTCTTATATATCCCTGTAAAATCTAGAATACACACGATAATCTAATTTTCCAGATTAAAGTAGAATAATTCGCTAGATTCTAGTATTTGCACCATCGATTCTTGACAGCCTGGCGGACGATATTGTAACAATACTATTATTGAATTTTAAGTGTTTTGGACTTTCGAAAAGGCTTATTATTGAAGTTCTAAAGTGTTTTGTAGCATTCTGAATGGTTTCAAGTAACTTCTAAAATTGAATGAAAAACGAATTCTGTGGGAAATCTTCAAGACGTCTTAAAGATATCTTGAAGACGTCGTATATTACAAAATCCAACGTCTTTCAGACGTCTGCCTATAAACTAAAAAAACTAAGGCATTCTAGAGAAATCTTCAACGAAATTTCTAAAAGAAGTCACCAAATCTCTTTTCAATACATGAACCATTATTCACTTTTAGGCCTGGCTGTACGCAATAGTGTGGCTTAGTTCAGTTGTCCTCAGAGATGTGAACATCTTATTATGGAAGTTTTCAGATGTTTTTTTTTTGTTTGTTCTTCAGACGGTCAGATGTAATGCAAAATCCAGACGTAAAAAAGACGTCTTTAAGACTTTGCGTGCTGGGTGAGTCTAGGTAGTTTCTTGTCCAAATGTTTTTCTTGTCATATGTGTTTTTGCTCCCTCTCAATAAAAATATTTAGATCATTTAATTTATTGAATTTTTCTTCTATTAAATGTAGTTTTCATTCTGATGTTTTGAAAAATTCCATGTTGCCTAATGAAATAAATGACAATAACTTTTTCGTTTTCAGCTAATGATCTTGAAATTTTTGTCATTAAAAGTATCGATTCTCCACAAAAAAATTCTCTCGAGTTTTTTTGATTTAATGCATACTTTAGAAAATCTATATATATAAAACACAGTTGTGTTTTGTGGAAGCACTTATAACTCAAGAACGGCTGGACCGATCTTCTTAAAATTTAAAACACGTAGTCTCTATCTGAAGGGAAATGACATAGGCTACTTTTTATCCCGGAAAAAAAATATTTTTAATTAATAATTATAAACAAACTCATTCACATACATGACCTAACTTTTTTTGTTGAGAACATGAAACAACGTTGCCACATTTATTTGAGCTTGTGCATTCAACCGATGCGACGTAACTGTATTATTTTTTAGAACACAAGAACGACTGGACCGATCTCCTTGGAATTTATACCACTTAATCACTATATAGAGGGAGTAAGTATAGGCTACATTTTTTCTCGGAAAACAAAATTAATTTTCAATTAATTATAAACAAACTTATTCACATACATGACCCAACTTTTTTTGACAATATGAAACAACGTTGCCACATTTATTTGAGTTTGCGCATGCAACCGACGTAACTGTATTATTTTTTTATTAAAAAATTTAAAAATTCAAATTTCCGTATTCAACTGACGTAACTGTATTATCTATCTATCTGTCGGGTTGGTTGCAGAACCTATAACTCGAGAACTGCTAGGCCGATTTTTATGATTTTTGTTATATTGGATTTGTCTGGCCCAAATTACATAACAACTATTGGAACATTGAAACATATAAAAAAAACACAATAAAAAGAAAAACATTATTTATGAAGAAAATTTACTAAATATGCATACGGCGCCATGTCTTATAACCGATACCAAGTTTGCCGCGTCAGATTACGCGGTTTGTTCCATTTTGATTTTTGAACATTTATTGAACCACATAATGTATTGTTAGTAATCATTTTATCTTATTAAAAAAACTGAATTTAATTAAGCTAATGCGTTAACTTAACATTTATTGATTCTGAGGCGTTACGAAGTTCGCCGGGTCCGCTAGTATTCAATAAATTCCAAAAAAATCAAGATGGTGGACATTTTTTTCCAAGTTTTACCAATGCGACAAATTGCGATTTTTGAGGGATTAATAAGGACTCTATTGACTACTCATTTTCGCAAAGATCACTTTGTTACTAATTTTTTCTACCCCAACCCCCTATTTTGACTAGCCTATACCTGCTCTTTTAAATTGGATATGGGGCGGGGGCACAAATTAATAACCTGCCACAGGCGCAAACAGGTCTCTAGTTACGGCTCTGTTATTGATATTATACTATAAATTGATTTTGACACTATTTTTGAATTTGAATTTCAATTTTTTTGTTTTTTAGACAAATATTGCGTGGTTATTCTTCTCACCAACATCGCTAACGAACAAAACGATACAAAAAAAAAGAGCTTCGTTATAATTTTAAATCAGTATCGATAAATCGAATCAATCACTAAAATCAATTAGTTTAATTACCATTTTTATTAAATAAATATCTACCATGACGTCATCGTGTTGAATTATTAAAGAGGTAACGGCATATTATGTTACCCAATAAATTAAATCAAGAAAGATGTTTATCTTCTTTTAATTCTTTAATAATTAAAGAGAGGAATTTTTGCAAATACATATGTAATTATATTTTGCAATTTCTAGAATGATAATGCTAAAACATCAAAAATTTTACTCTCTAAATTTTTAGCATAGGGTAACATAATTACAAAAAAAAAACAAATAGTGAAAGTTTTAGAATTTTTGACACACATTTTATAATTAAAAAAACAAACAACTTTTTATTTGGAAGTAAAATTCAATTGCCTTTCTCCTTTTCTATTTTTTTTTCACATTACATTAGGTCTGTGCTCACAGAAATCACAAACCCAATTAGAGCGTTTTTGATTGGTGCAAACCAGTTTTCTGCCAATTTTCAAGCAATGAAATTCAATCTGACTGGTTTGTGATTTCTATGCTATAAGCAACATTAAAACGTTCCTAGTTAGGTGAAAATTTGTAATTAAACACGTACCAAAATATAAATTAATTACCTCCGTTTACGTCATTAGAAAAACTTCTTGAATGCAATATTTTTGGCCTTTGCCTTGAATAATTATTTGCTCGTAGTTGGCCATGGATTTTCAATTTCTTTTGCAGTATTATTAAATAAGGTCAAGATTATATTGAATAGTATGGATTTTTCGATTTAATAGGTATAATGGAAAAAAAACTATAAAATATTGTATTTTAATCTGATTCAAAAGGCTCTATGTAAACGTAATAGGTGAAATGCCTGTAAAAAACTGGCGCCATCTAGAGTCAAGTAAACTCTAAGCCACAGCCTATTGCGTTTATAGAGCAGATTGAAATCGACTATTATTTTGGATTAAAAAATAAATAATAATAAACTTACCATAAATGTTCAACTATGTATAACACTTGTTCAATTCTACTGGGCAACTACTGTAAAATCAAAATTAAACCAAAAAAAAATAATAATCGCAAACAATATAATTCCGATAATCGTAAAATGCGAAATTATAATTTGAACGGAAGCTCGCGTTTGTTTGACAATTTTTTAATAAGCGACCTCCGGCCTTATGGTTGCGTTTTCGGTCGATGGTTGATGGTTGACTGCCCAACTAAATGCTAATAATAATCTAATTTCGTGGTACCGCGAAAACCTGTGCCGATAATTATCTACCATGACGGTAGTGTGTGTATAGAGGGAGAATTAAAATGGTATTAGCCGGATTTTGTATTGTTGCGTTCTTTGATTTTTTTTTTTTTTTAAAGCGTAAATCCCAGGTTTTTTTGTGTGTTATGTAACACATTGTATTTGAAGATTACTGTAGAATTCTTGGTAATCAAGAAATTCTTTATTAATTATAGCTGAAAGGCACAATTATTGAAGAATTTGAACAGAGTTATAATAAATTGAATTTGAAAAATAATTCTTGATATTATGGCGAAGGCGATAAAATAATTCACTGGACTTCATAAATGGCGCTAAATCTCATATTTTTTTATAGAAATCTGTAATTCGATGCTCTGATCAAAGGTCAAGGGTCAAATACAGGGTGTTTTCTAATATTGTATGTCAATATTTAAAACGATTTTTAGGTCCATTTCATATTATGAACAAATATTTATAAAAAAATCTTTATTTTTCGATACAAATGATAGGTTGTGCCTGATTCCTATTGTGTCACCCTGTATATGAACAGGGTTGCATTTAGGTATTTTTTTATTAATTATTAAATTATTATATTTCATTATTGTAATCTAACAAAGCACATCTGTCCAATCTTGAAGAATTCTGATAAATCTGGAACAATTCTAATTGCCACAGACATTTTTTCTTTTTTACTGAAAAATAATCCCATTAGTGATACCTATTTTATAATCTTTTATTCTCAAAATTACTCTTATGCATTTCCGATATTCCATCACAACTGACATTTTTCGGAACGTTCTCCTTAAATTTGGGCGCAGTCGGAAATAATTCACACAAAGCCCTCAGTTCGGTCCTGGCACAATTCACCACCCTCCACAACTTTTCCGAGTCCATAACAACGCAATTTTCCTGTGGGTGTTTCGATCTCGGATGTCCTGGAGCCCAAGATCTAAAACTATTATGAAAATTAATATGGCAACACTGTCAAAATTGTTATTATTAGGCCAAGTTTTTAAATTCACCATTTGCTCATGCGCATTTCTCTTTATGATTAACCTATCCTTGTTTTCCTGCTGTCAAATGACGAAGATAACATTACATCGGTGAAAATGCTCATATATCATTGATGATTTTAAAAACTTGCTCCTATATTCTGTCCAAGTCCAACCAACCTACGGAATGAGAAACAACATACCCTTGAAAAAGGTTCGTTACTATTGGTCATTTGTCAGCTCACTTTACACTATAGAGTGTATTCAGTGTGAATCTAGCCGCCATTGTGACTCTGTCACACTTCGTAGGTTCGTTGGACAAAATTTAGTGACTTTTACTGTTGCCAGGTCACCAGAAATTGGAATGAAACATCACCAGATTTAAAAAAAAAAAAATCACCAGAAATCTTGAAAGTTGATTTTTCAGGAAAATTCTTGCCTACGGGCTTACATCGAACCAAGTAGGCTTCAAAAACATGTATGTATTGCAATGTCGGTATTACAGAGCGCTATATTGGCCATTATTCCTAACCTTGTCAAGATTTGAAAAAATTTCCAAATCGAAAATTGAGATTTTTAAGCTTTTTGAAATCGCCATTTTGAAAGTGATGTTAGATTTTTTTTCGACTAATTTAGACCCGGTCTATCGATTGGAAAAGTTAAAATTACGAAAATTGAAATTGTAGCCCTTGATTAGGGCTTCAAAATGGTGCTTAGTTGAAGTCGCTGGCATTTACGGTTCTTGAGAAAATCGAGTTTGAAGTTTTAGACTAAATTTCAACTGAAATCCAACTTTGAGACTCAATTGCTCTAAAACTATTTGAGTTATCAAACTCAATTTAGCACTGATTTATAGAGAATTTAATGCTCTTTCCAACCATAATATATAACTTGTTATCATTTGCGCAAAGTTTAATGGAGGTATTGGCAATTACTCCTAACTTTGATGGGATTCAAAAAAAAATTAAACCTAAAAATTGAGATTTTCTTTTTAATTTTTCCCTGTATTGAAATCAAGATTTTGCAATAATGTTAGAGTTTTTTTCGACTAATTTGAACTCGCTCTATCGATTAAAAAAGTCAAAATTCAAAAAATCTGAAAAATAAAAATTTTGATTTTTTTCAAAAGGTTCCCTTTGGATTTTAATTCCAAAATTTTCAAACTCAATTTTCTCGAAACCCGTCAAAAATTTTGGATCATTTTTTTTTTGAAATTGTAGCCCTTGTTTAGGGCTTCAAAATGGTGCTTAGTTGAAATCGCTGGCATTTACGGTTTTTGAGAAAATCGAGTTTGAAGTTTTAGACTAAATTTTAACTGAAATCCAACTTTGAGACTCAATTGCTCTAAAAGTATTTGAGTTATCAAACTCAATTTAGCACTGATTTATAGAGAATTTAATGCTCTTTCCAACCATATATAACTTATTTTCATTTGCGCAAAGTTTAAGGGAGGTATTGGCAATTACTCCTAACTTTGATGGGATTCAAAAAAAATTTAAACCTAAAAATTGAGATTTTCTTTTTAATTTTTCCCTGTATTGAAATCAAGATTTTGCAATAATGTTAGAGTTTTTTTCGACTAATTTGAACTCGCTCTATCGATTAAAAGAGTGAAAATTCAAAAAATCTGAAAAATAAAAATTTCGATTTTTTCAAAGGGTTCCCTTTGGATTTTAATTCCAAAATTTTCAAACTCAATTTTCTCGGAACCCGTTGAAGATTTTGGATCAATTTTTTTTGAAATTGTAGTCCTTGATTAGGGCTTCAAAATGGTGCTTAGTTGAAGTCGCTGGCATTTACGGTTTTTGAGAAAATCGAGTTTGAAGTTTTAGACTAAATTTCAACTGAAATCCAACTTTGAGACTCAATTGCTCTGAAAGTATTTGAGTTATCAAACTCAATTTAGCACTGATTTATAGAGAATTTAATGCTCTTTCCAACCATATATAACTTATTTTCATTTGCGCAAATTTTAATGGAGGTATTGGCAATTACTCGTAACTTTGATGGGATTCAAAAAAAATTTAAACCTAAAAATTGAGATTTTCTTTTTAATTTTTCTCTGTATTAAAATCAAGATTTTGCAATAATGTTAGAGTTTTTTTTCAACTAATTTGAACTCGCTCTATCGATTAAAAAAGTCAAAATTCAAAAAATCTGAAAAATAAAAATTTTGATTTTTTTCAAAAGGTTCCCTTTGGATTTTAATTCCAAAATTTTCAAACTCAATTTTCTCGAAACCCGTCAAAAACTTTGGATCATTTTTTTTTTGAAATTGTAGCCCTTGTTTAGGGCTTCAAAATGGTGCTTAGTTGAAATCGCTGGCATTTACGGTTTTTGAGAAAATCGAGTTTGAAGTTTTAGACTAAATTTTAACTGAAATCCAACTTTGAGACTCAATTGCTCTAAAAGTATTTGAGTTATCAAACTCAATTTAGCACTGATTTATAGAGAATTTAATGCTCTTTCCAACCATATATAACTTATTTTCATTTGCGCAAATTTTAATGGAGGTATTGGCAATTACTCGTAACTTTGATGGGATTCAAAAAAAATTTAAACCTAAAAATTGAGATTTTCTTTTTAATTTTTCTCTGTATTAAAGTCAAGATTTTGCAATAATGTTAGAGTTTTTTTTCAACTAATTTGAACTCGCTCTATCGATTAAAAAAGTCAAAATTCAAAAAATCTGAAAAATAAAAATTTCGATTTTTTCAAAGGGTTCCCTTTGGATTTTAATTCCAAAATATTCAAACTCAATTTTCTCGGAACCCGTTAAAGATTTTGGATCAATTTTTTTTGAAATTGTAGCCCTTGATTAGGGCTTCAAAATGGTGCTTAGTTGAAGTCGCTGGCATTTACGGTTTTTGAGAAAATCGAGTTTGAAGTTTTAGACTAAATTTCAACTGAAATCCAACTTTGAGACTCAATTGCTCTGAAAGTATTTGAGTTATCAAACTCAATTTAGCACTGATTTATAGAGAATTTAATGCTCTTTCCAACCATATATTATTTATTTTCATTTGCGCAAATTTTAATGGAGGTATTGGCAATTACTCGTAACTTTGATGGGATTCAAAAAAAATTTAAACCTAAAAATTGAGATTTTCTTTTTAATTTTTCTCTGTATTAAAATCAAGATTTTGCAATAATGTTAGAGTTTTTTTTCAACTAATTTGAACTCGCTCTATCGATTAAAAAAGTCAAAATTCAAAAAATCTGAAAAATAAAAATTTCGATTTTTTCAAAGGGTTCCCTTTGGATTTTAATTCCAAAATATTCAAACTCAATTTTCTCGGAACCCGTTAAAGATTTTGGATCAATTTTTTTTGAAATTGTAGCCCTTGATTAGGGCTTCAAAATGGTGCTTAGTTGAAGTCGCTGGCATTTACGGTTTTTGAGAAAATCGAGTTTGAAGTTTTAGACTAAATTTCAACTGAAATCCAACTTTGAGACTCAATTGCTCTGAAAGTATTTGAGTTATCAAACTCAATTTAGCACTGATTTATAGAGAATTTAATGCTCTTTCCAACCATATATTATTTATTTTCATTTGCGCAAATTTTAATGGAGGTATTGGCAATTACTCGTAACTTTGATGGGATTCAAAAAAAATTTAAACCTAAAAATTGAGATTTTCTTTTTAATTTTTCTCTGTATTAAAATCAAGATTTTGCAATAATGTTAGAGTTTTTTTTCAACTAATTTGAACTCGCTCTATCGATTAAAAAAGTCAAAATTCAAAAAATCTGAAAAATAAAAATTTTGATTTTTTTCAAAAGGTTCCCTTTGGATTTTAATTCCAAAATTTTCAAACTCAATTTTCTCGAAACCCGTCAAAAACTTTGGATCATTTTTTTTTTGAAATTGTAGCCCTTGATTAGGGCTTCAAAATGGTGCTTAGTTGAAGTCGCTGGCATTTACGGTTTTTGAGAAAATCGAGTTTGAAGTTTTAGACTAAATTTCAACTGAAATCCAACTTTGAGACTCAATTGCTCTGAAAGTATTTGAGTTATCAAACTCAATTTAGCACTGATTTATAGAGAATTTAATGCTCTTTCCAACCATATATTATTTATTTTCATTTGCGCAAATTTTAATGGAGGTATTGGCAATTACTCGTAACTTTGATGGGATTCAAAAAAAATTTAAACCTAAAAATTGAGATTTTCTTTTTAATTTTTCTCTGTATTAAAATCAAGATTTTGCAATAATGTTAGAGTTTTTTTTCAACTAATTTGAACTCGCTCTATCGATTAAAAAAGTCAAAATTCAAAAAATCTGAAAAATAAAAATTTCGATTTTTTCAAAGGGTTCCCTTTGGATTTTAATTCCAAAATATTCAAACTCAATTTTCTCGGAACCCGTTAAAGATTTTGGATCAATTTTTTTTGAAATTGTAGCCCTTGATTAGGGCTTCAAAATGGTGCTTAGTTGAAGTCGCTGGCATTTACGGTTTTTGAGAAAATCGAGTTTGAAGTTTTAGACTAAATTTCAACTGAAATCCAACTTTGAGACTCAATTGCTCTGAAAGTATTTGAGTTATCAAACTCAATTTAGCACTGATTTATAGAGAATTTAATGCTCTTTCCAACCATATATTATTTATTTTCATTTGCGCAAATTTTAATGGAGGTATTGGCAATTACTCGTAACTTTGATGGGATTCAAAAAAAATTTAAACCTAAAAATTGAGATTTTCTTTTTAATTTTTCTCTGTATTGAAATCAAGATTTTGCAATAATGTTAGAGTTTTTTTCGACTAATTTGAACTCGCTCTATCGATTAAAAGAGTCAAAATTCAAAAAATCTGAAAAATAAAAATTTCGATTTTTTCAAAGGGTTCCCTTTGGATTTTAATTCCAAAATTTTCAAACTCAATTTTCTCGGAACCCGTCAAAAATTTTGGATCAATTTTTTTTTGAAATTGTAGCCCTTGATTAGGGCTTCAAAATGGTGCTTAGTTGAAATCGCTGGCATTTACGGTTTTTGAGAAAATCGAGTTTGAAGTTTTAGACTTAATTTCAACTGAAATCCAACTTTGAGACTCAATTGCTCTAAAAGTATTTGAGTTATCAAACTCAATTTAGCACTGATTTATAGAGAATTTAATGCTCTTTCCAACCATATATAACTTATTTTCATTTGCGCAAATTTTAATGGAGGTATTGGCAATTACTCCTAACTTTGATGGGATTCAAAAAAAATTTAAACCTAAAAATTGAGATTTTCTTTTTAATTTTTCTCTGTATTAAAATCAAGATTTTGCAATAATGTTAGAGTTTTTTTTCAACTAATTTGAACTCGCTCTATCGATTAAAAAAGTCAAAATTCAAAAAATCTGAAAAATAAAAATTTCGATTTTTTCAAAGGGTTCCCTTTGGATTTTAATTCCAAAATATTCAAACTCAATTTTCTCGGAACCCGTTAAAGATTTTGGATCAATTTTTTTTGAAATTGTAGTCCTTGATTAGGGCTTCAAAATGGTGCTTAGTTGAAGTCGCTGGCATTTACGGTTTTTGAGAAAATTGAGTTTGAAGTTTTAGACTAAATTTCAACTGAAATCCAACTTTGAGACTCAATTGCTCTAAAAGTATTTGAGTTATCAAACTCAATTTGGCACTGATTTATAGAGAATTTAATGCTCTTTCCAACCATGTATAACTTATTTTCATTTGCGCAAATTTTAATGGAGATATTGGCAATTACTCCTAACTTTGATGGGATTCAAAAAAAATTTAACCTAAAAATTGAGATTTTCTTTTTAATTTTTCTCTGTATTAAAGTCAAGATTTTGCAATAATGTTAGAGTTTTTTTCGACTAATTTGAACTCGCTCTATCGATTAAAAAAGTCAAAATTCAAAAAATCTGAAAAATAGAAATTTCGATTTTTTCAAAGGGTTCCCTTTGGATTTTAATTCCAAAATTTTCAAACTCAATTTTCTCGGAACCCGTTAAAGATTTTGGATCAATTTTTTTTTGAAATTGTAGCCCTTGATTAGGGCTTCAAAATGGTGCTTAGTTGAAGTCGCTGGCATTTACGGTTTTTGAGAAAATCGAGTTTGAAGTTTTAGACTAAATTTCAACTGAAATCCAACTTTGAGACTCAATTGCTCTAAAAGTATTTGAGTCATCAAACTCAATTTAGCACTGATTTATAGAGAATTTAATGCTCTTTCCAACCATATATAATTTGTTTTGATTTGTTCAAATTTCTTTGAAGATATTGGATATTGGCCATTATTCCTGACCTTGTCAAAAAAAATTCCAAATCGAAAATTGAGATTTTTAAGCTTTTTGAAATCGTCATTTTGAAAGTGATGTTAGAATTTTTTTCGATTAGTTTAAACCCGCTAAGTCAATTGGAAAAGTCAAAATTTTGAAAATATGAAAAATAAAAATTTCGAGTTTTCGATTGGTTTGACTCCATAAGCAACGCCATTGGCCAAACAAAATACATGTTGCCAACTTGAAAAATAACCGGCCAATAGCAACAAGAGCCTGGAATAAATAGAAATTGAAATATGAAAAGGGAAACATATAATATTTCAAAAGAATAAATACAAATTTATATGAAAATCAAAGGACCTCACACACCACTTATGTGTATTTGGTTTTCTGTCAAACAAATGAAATTTGTATGTTGATGAAGTAAAATCACCAGATCTGGTGAAATTTCACTAGACCTGGCATCACTGGTGACTATGATATTTCAAAACGCACTTCACTTGCAAGGATATTCCACAGTACTATAAGATTGCTCATTGGCCTCAAGGTCATATCAATATTGCACCGTTGTCAACGTCATCAAAGAGGTCATTAGTTGTTTGCACCAGCGGTCGGAGTTTAGAATATACCAATAAACTATAAACTCCTTTCTCTCTCTAATTCATTGCTGTTAAGTTTGATATATTCCTAACCACAAATATAATGTTTTCCAGACAAGGAAAAATTTTCATAATTGGTCCATAAGGTAAATAGAGATAGGTATCCCCCACATCACATTATCCATCTCAATTTGCCTCATTTTATAGATAGGCCAGGCCATTCCAAGTAAGTGTAGTTTATAGTTCATTGGAATATACATTTATGATGAAAAATATTCTTTAATTTTGATTAACGAGGTGGAGTAGCTTGAGATTTGCTGTTTGATCTGTACAGGCCTTATTGTGTAGTGTGTAATATCCTTGCTTGCAATGTTGCCAAGTTTTCTATATACTTACTTTGAGCAAGTCAAACGTTTTCCCATGCTATTTTCGAACGTGCTCTCTTGTCGTAAATCGTCCAAACCCACATAGGCGGCCTTGTACCAATCAGAAATGTGATTTTTCAGCATTTCTGATAACATTACGGTACGATATTCGGTAGTAATGTCGGCTAAATCGGCACTGCTGTTTTGACAGGCCAATATCGATTGGCTGTAATTTAGGTTTTTTGGTGTTAGAGCAAACAGGCCTAGCGATTTGATGCATGTGACATTTTGGGTAGCTGGAAATTAAAGGAAAATTAAACTGCAAAATTGGCAACAGTGTTCAAAATCGATAGTGATACCGCGAGACAAGACAAAAACAATATGTTCTCTCTCGTCTTATAGACCCTCGATACGAAAGACGAAAGCTGTTTTCTCGTCTCGTCTCGGTTTCTCTCGTTTCTCGTGGGTTTTGTTTGACACATAGTAAGGAAAATATTAAAATGTTCTAGTGGTTTACCACTTACCTACTTTATTTACTATCTTAACAATAAGGGATTGGGTACGCCACTGGAATAATCAAGTCTAGAAAACTCGAAAAATTCTCGTCAACAGAAAACATTTTCTCGTCTCGTCTCGAAATGACGTTTCGAGAGAAAAAAATCGGTCATTCGGTTCATCTCGTCAAGACCAAATACGAGAATCTCTCACAAACTTTCAACATTCAAATTCCCATAAGTGCTGTTGCACGATTTTATATGAAATTTGACAACAATGGTTTTTTTTTAAGGAGGAGCACTGCTTTCAGTTTTTACATTCGTCTGGAAATTAAGTCTGGCAACATGGCAATAATTGAAATAAAATTTTTATTTTTAGTCAAAATAAGAAATTTGACAACATGGCTTTTTAAATATTTATTCGGAAGTGTTGAAAAGTGTTCCAATTGTTTCAATTTCTGTTCTGTTTGCACCGCTATTTATGACGTCATGTGTGGTATCTCAACATAATGCAAATTATTATGAGGCACTTTAGATGACGTCATCAAGTTACCCGTAACCTATTAACTCAAGGAACCTTGAACTTTGGGAATGACTCAAGAAAATTCTAAAAATACTGTATAAGATTCTAAAGTCTCCCAGTACTCTAGAGTAATCTGGAACAAGTTACTCTAAAACAAATTACCCTGGAGTAACTTATTCTAAATTACTGTGAAAAAACTTACTCTAGAGTAGTTTGGAGTAGACCACTCTAGAATTTTCTGAAGAAGCAATAAGTTTTTTTGTTTCATCTCTCTCCCTCTGTATACTTTCTTTACCTGGTAATAATTCTATCTCTCTCACACTTGACACTAATAATTTCTCTATGACAGTAGTTAACAGATAAACATTGAATTAAACGTCATTTGTCAATTAATTTTTTTTATGACTGAGTTAAATTCAGGAGCCGGGAATAGATGAAAAATCGATTCCATCTCTCTCTCTCTCTGTATAGATTCTTTTTCTGGTAATGGTTCTATCTCTCTCACACTTGACAGTAATTTCTCTGTAACAATAGCTGACAGATAAATATTGAATTAAACGTCATTTGTCAAGCAATTTGTTTATGACTGTATTGAATTCAAGAGCCAGGAATAAACAAAAATCGATTCCATCTCTCTCCTTCTGTATAAGTTCTTTACCGGTAGTAGTTTTATCTCTCTATTTTTCTTGTTCCTTTTGTTCTTTATTTTTCACTTAATTACTACTACTTCAGAGTAGCTTACTCTAAAGTACTCTGGAGTAGCTTACTCTAGAGTACTCTGGAGTAGCTTACTCTGAAATAGCTCACTTAGAGTATTCTGGGGTAGCTTACTTTAGAGTACTCTGGCGTAGCTTACTCTAGAGTACTCTGGAGTAGCTTACTCCAGAATAGCTCTCGCGAAAGTGTAGAGTAGCTTATTCCAGAATACTCTACCGTAGCTCATCCTAGAGTAATTTCCTTCAGAGTATTCTAGAGTAGGCTACTCTAAAGTCTAAAGTAGCTTATTCGAGAGGATTCTAGAGTAACTCACTCTAGAGTAACTCACTCTAGAGAGCCTTATTTAAGAGTAGCTTATTCCAGAGAACTCTAGAGTATTTCACTGCAGAGTACTCTGGAGTAGAACAGCTTATTATTGAGTACTCTGGAGAGCAGACTTCTCTAGAACTGACCGCAATAATGGTTACTGATCGCAATAATAGTTTTTCTAGAGCAGGCTACTATAGAATACTCTCGTGTAGCCTGCTCTAAAGTAGTTTGGAATAGTCTGCTCTAGAGTACTATAGAACAAGCTACTCTAAAATATTCAATATTTTTGAGTAAACTACTCTAGAACAATTTAGAGCAGGCTCAAGAGTAACCTGCTCTAGAGTACTTTAAATTAGCGTTCTTCAGAGTATCCGGCAAAATTTAAAATAATTAAGTTCACCTTCACGATGAAATGTTCACAAAAAAATTCTTTCAGTTGAGTAGTGGTTCGTCACGGCATAAAATTGACCTCAATAATAATTACTCTAGAGCAAGCTACTACAGAATACTCTCGTGAAACCTGCTCTAAAGTAGTCTAGCATAATCTGCTCTAGAGTACTATAGAACAAGCTAGAGAACTCTAGAATAGTCAATATTCTCAAGCAAACTACTCTAAAACACTCTAAAGTACTCAAAAGTAACCGGCTTTAAAGTAATTTAGATTAGCTTGCTCTAAAGTACTGGCGAAATTAAAAAATTAAACACATTCAAAATCTTCATAAAATTCTTTCGGGTGAGTAGTGTTTTGTCGCGAAGTAAAGAACTGACCGCAATAATGGTTACTGATTGCAATAAGAGCTACTCTAAAGCAGGCTACTATAGAACACTCTCGTGTAGCCTACTCTAAAGTAGTCTAGAATTGTCTTACTCCAAGCATCCCATGTGCATTAATTCTATTTGAACTCCTTCTATTGTTCGAGTTACTCCAAGTGTTCTAATTGCCATAATTTCTGTTCCATCTGCACTAACTCTGTTCTATTTGAACTGCTCTGATTGTTACTTTTCGAACTACTCTAATATGCTACTAAACAATGAATTTATTCACTATAAGGCTGATTTGAAAATTAATTTTAAATTTTCGGTAATTCTATTCTGACTGTTCCAAGTGTTCAAATTAACCCAAATTCAAGAGCCTGAAATAGACAAAAATTGAAAGAAATTTTTTTGAATTTTCCTTATACCAGGACCACTGTTGCCAAGTTTCCTGAAAAGTATGGCAAACTGAGAATTTTATTGTGAAAACTCGTTGTCACGTTTATAAAAAATCCTAATTAAACAAAAAGAGGCTGTTTCCACATTGATTTTTCAAAAAAAAAAAAATGCAACGGCTGAATACAATGTTGTCAAGTTAATGAAGTTTTCCCTATAAATGCGAAACGAGACGAGAGACCATCGATACGAGACGAGAAAGGTATACACTCGTCTTGTCTCGTTTCCTCTCAGTGACTTACTTTACTAAAATGCAAAAAAAAGTTTTCTTACTGCTTCACTAAAATGTATGAAAATTTACCCATAATACCTAAGGTTAGGGAAAATCTTGTAAATTACAATTTACAGTGGTGTGGACATTTATTTTACCTACCTACTTTCCTACTTATCTTAACAAAGGGTTCAGCGAGGACGTCACTGAAATAATCAAGCCTAAAAAGCTTGACGAGAAAAAACATTTTCTCGTCTCGAAGTGACTTTTGTTACTTGTCTCGTCAAAACGAGAATCACTAACAAAACTTACCATTCAAATTCCCATAAGCGCTGTAATAATCGTATCCCAAGTGCATAACCAAACTAGTCTCGTCAATTTGCGGACAAGCCAAAACCTGACAATTTGGCTCAAATTTTGTAAAATTTTCCGCTTCTAGTGGACTGAAATTGAAAGCCAATCCGTTTTTCGATCTGGTAGCGTCTTTGCAATCCTGCAAAGTCGATACTCGCTTCCAAAATATGATTTGCGAGGTCGATTTGTGGCAAGATTTGATTTTGTGGTAAATCAAAGGGGTTTCTATTGAATTACAGTGGCGTGGGTTTATTTGCTGTATCGATAATTGTAGTAGTAATATTGTTAGAAGCATTTTGAAGACTGATGGCGGACAAGGACTTTTGAAGTCATGCTTAACTGCACTGCAATTAGCAATTTGTATAGAGAAATTAAAACACTCACTCAACAATAACGAATCTTTTATTTATGAATTGAAATTACTATTTGACTAAAAGTTGATCGATGTAAGTTGCAGTTTCAGCAAAAACATCGTCGGTGCTTCTTTCAGCATCAATCTGAAAAACAAAAATTCATTATTTAGGACCGGTTTATTCACCTTCTGATAAACTGTCAGGTATGCAATATAATGGATAAAAACGCAAACTGTATTCCCATAGAATTAAAGAACGGTTAATTTATCTTGCAGATAGTTTATCTGAAGATGAATAAACCGGTCTTTAATAAAATTAAATTTTTCATTTTTATTACTAACTTTTTTAAGCTTTTTAAGGTACTGCTGAACCACGTGGTCGTTGTGCGTATTGAAAGTTTGCAACCTCTTTTTTATGGTTTCTTCATTGTCATCCACTCTTCCGGAAGTTTTAGCTCTATCGAGTAACCTTTGAACGAACAAAATTTAGTTAGGTTTTAGTTAAATTACTCCAGAGCAGGTTGCTTCAAAGTACTTTACTCTTAGAGTACTCTCAGGAGTAAGAGGGCTCTACTCTAGAGTAAGTAAAACGATTACCTGTCGATTAAAGTTTTTTCCGAAGCGTCGTAAAATAGTACTAAATCGACTGGAGCGATGTTCGATTCGAACGCAATCCCTTGTTCCTTTTCGCGCGGGTAACCGTCGATTAGGAACCCTTTGGAGGACGGAACCGCCTTTAAAATGGCTTCTTTGAGTAAATCTAGTACTACTTGCATGGGTACTAGTTCGCCTCGTTCCATTATCGCTGTCAGTTCTTTGCCTCGCGAGGAACCGCTACTCACCTGAAAGAATTTTATTTTTTCAAATTTTGCCAGTAGGTACTCTTAAACGAGTTAATCTTAAGTACTCTAGAGCAGATTACTCTTGAGTACTCAAGCCTACTCTAGAATGTTCTCGCGTGGTTTGCTCAATCAAAGCAGTGCAAACACTCAGTTAGTGCAAATGAAACAGAAATTAAAACAATTGGAACACTCAAGAGTAACTCGAACAATAGAAGGAATTCAAATAAAATTAGTGCAGATGGAATGCTTAGAGTAATTTAAATCGAGCTAGTGCAAATGGAACAGAATTTAAATAGTCAAAGTAGTTCGAACAGTTGAACAGATTAAAAAGAGTCAGTGCACTTGAAACAGTCGGATTAGAATTACTAAAAGCCCAAAATTAATTTTCAAATAAGCCTACTGTTATAGTGAATAAATTCATTGTTTAGTAATGTATTAGAGTAGTTCGAACAGTAAGAATCAGAGCAGTGCAAACAGAATAGACTTAGTGCAAATAAAAAAGAAATTAAAGCAATTGGAGCACTTAGAGTAACTCAAACAATAGAAGGAATTCAAATAGAATTAATGCAGATGGATGGCTTAGAGTAATTTAAATAGAGTTAGTGCAAACGGAACAGTCAGAGTGGAATTACTAAAAACTCAAAATAAATTTTCAAATCAGCCTACTGTGGTGGATAAATAATTTGTTTAGTAGCAGATTAGAGAGTTAAACCAATTATTAAAACACTAAGAGTAACTCGAACAATAGAAGGAATTCAAAAAGAATTAATGCAGATGGAATGCTTATAGTAATTAATATCCAGTTAGTGCAAACAGAACAGAGTTAAAACTGTCAAAGTTGTTCGGACAGTTAAACAGATCAAAAAGAATCAGTGCACTTGAAAAAGTTAGAGTAAAATTACTAAAAACCCAAAATTAATTTTCAAATCAGCCTACTGTTATAGTGAATAAATTCATTGTTTAGTAGTATATTAGAGTAGTTCGAACACTAACAATCAGATTAGTGCAAACAGACCAGAATTAGTGCAGATGAAACAGAAATTAAAGTAATTAGAACACTTAGAGTAACTCGAACAATAGAAGGAATTTTAATAGCAAAGGGAATGGTTAGAGTAATTTAAATCGCGTTAGTGCAAATGGAACAAAATTAAAACAGTCAAAGTAGTTCAGACAGTTGAACAGATCAAAAAGAGTCAGAGCACTTGGAACAATCAAAATAGAATTACTAGAAGCCCAAAATTAATATTCAAATCAGGACACTATTATAATAAATAAAATAGCATATTAGAGTAGTTCGAACAGTAACAATCAAGGCAGTGTAAATAGAACAGAGTTAATGCAGATGGAACAAGAATTAAAATAATTGGAACACTTAGAATAACTTGAACAATAGAAGGAATTCAAATAGAATTATTGTAGATGAAATGTTTAGAGTAATTTAAATCGACTTAGTGCAAATGGAACAGAATTAAAACAGTCAAAGTAGTTCGAACAGACGAACAGATTAAAAAGAGTCAGTGCGCTTGAAACAGTCAGAGTAAAATAACTAAAAACCCAAAATTAATTTTCAAATCAGCCTACTGTTATAGTGAATAAATTCATTGTTTAATAGCATATTAGAGTAGTTCGAGCAGTAAGAATCAGAGCAGTGCAAACAGAACAAAGTTAGTGCAGATGCAACAGAAATTAAAGCAATTAGAACTCTTAGAGTAACTCGAACAATAGAAATAATTCAAATAGAATTAATGCACATAGAATGCTTAGAGTAAGACTATTCTAGACTACTTTAGAGCAAGCTACACGAGAGTATTCTATAGTAGTCTGCTCTAGAAAAACTATTATTGCGATCAGTTCTCGCAACTAACCTTAACACTACTCACTTGAATCTGTTAGAATTTTTTTTGAAGATTTTCAATGTGTAGGAGAATTTTAATTTTTTAATTTTACCAGTACTCTAGAGCAGGTTTCTCTTGAGTACTTAAACCTGCTTTAGTGTGGTTTAGAGTAGTTTGTTCAAGAATATCGAATATTCTGGAGTTCTCTAGAGTAACTTGTTCTATAGTACTCTAAAGCAGACCATTCTCGACCACATTAGAGCAGGCTACATGAGATTATTCTATAGTAGCTTGCTCTAGAGTAACTATTATTGCAATCAGTGCTTTGTTTCGTGCCGAACCACTACTCCTGAAAGAATTTTTTGTGAAGATTTTTATTGTGAGGGGGAATTTTAATTTTTTTAATTTTGCCAGTACTTTAGAGCAAGCTAATCTAAATTACTCTAAAGCAGGTTATTCTTGAGTACTCAAGCCTGCTCTAACCTGCTCTAGAGTACTTTTAATTAGCTTGCTCTAGAGTACTGGCGAAATTAAAAAATTAAAATTCTCCTACATATCGGAAGTTTTTCCAAAAATTCATTCAAGTGAGTAGTGGTTTGTCGCAAGGCAAAGAACTGACCGCAATAATAGTTACTCTAGAGTAGACTACTACAGTATACTCTCGTGTAGCCTGCTCTAAAGTGGTCTAGAATAGCCTGCTCTAGAGTACTATAAAACAATAAGAGAACAAGTTACTCTAGAGAACTCTAGAATATTCGATATTCTTGAACAAACTACTGTAGAACACTTTAGAGCAGGCTTGAGGACTCAAGAGTAACCTGCTTTAGAGTAATTTAGATTAGCTTTAAAATTCCCCCACACAATAAAAATTTTCAGAAAAAAATTCTTTCAGGTGAGTAGTGGTTCGGCACGAAACAAAGAACTGATTACAATAATAGTTACTCTAGAGCAAGCTACTATAGAATAATCTTGTGTAGCCTGCTCTAAAGTAGTCTAGAATGGTCTGCTTTAGAGTACTATAGAACAAGTTATTCTAGAGAAGTGCAGAATATTCGATATTCTTGAACAAACTACTCTAGAACACACTAGAGCAGGCTTAAGTACAAAAAAATCATATTTAGGTGAGTAAGTGTTTAGGTTAGTCGCGAGAACTGATCGCAATAATAGTCATTCTAGAGTCTAGATCTAGAGCAGACTACTATAGAATACTCTCGTGTAGTTTGATCTAAAGTAATCTAGAAAAGTCTTCTGTAAGCATTCCTTCTGCATTAATTTTCTCTGTTCTGTTTGCACCGCTCTGATTGTTCGAACTACTCTAATATGCTATTAAACAATGAATTTATTCACTATAACAGTAAGCTGATTCGAAAATTAATTTTGAGTTTTCAGTAATTCTACTCTGACTGTTCCAAGTGCTCTGACTCTTTTTGATCTGTTCAACTGTCCGAATTACTTTAACTGTTTCAATTCTGTTCCATTTGCACTAATTCGATTAAAATTACTCTCAGCATTCCATTTGCAATAATTCTTTTTGAATTCCTGAAAAGTATGTTTTGTTTGCACTGTTCCTAGAGTACTCTAGAGTACTCCAGAGTATCCTAGAGTAAGCTACTTGAGAGCACTCTAGAGTAAGCTACTCTAGAGTAAGCTACTTTAGAGTAAGCTACTCTAGAGTAAGCTACTTTAGAGTAAGCTACTCTAAAGTAAGCTTCTCCAGAGTAAGCTATTTCGAAGTACTCTAGAATAAGCTACTCTAGAGTAGTAGTAAGTGAATGGAAAATAAAGAATAAAAAGAATGAGAACAAGAGAGATAAAACTAAGTAAAAAAAAACTATACAGAGGGAGAGAGATGAAATCGATTTTTGTCTATTCCCGGCTTTTGAATTCAACTCAGTCATAAATAAATTGATTGACAAATGACGTTTAATTCAATGTTTATCTGTCAACAACAGAGAAACTAGTGTCAAGTGTGAGAGAGATAAAACTATTACCAGATAAAGAAACTTTATACAGAGGGAGAGAGATGGAATCGATTTTTATCTATTCCCGGCTCTTGAATTCAACTTAGTCATAAACAAGAGAGAGATAAAACCCATTATTAGATGAAGTAATTATACAGAGGGAGAGAGATGAAATAAAAAAACTTGTTGCTTCTTTAGAAAATTCTATAGTAATCTTCTTCAGAGTTTCAGACTATTCTAGAGTAAGTTATTCCACTGTAATTTGGTGTAAGTTACTCTAGAGTAATCTGTTTTAGAGTCACTTGCTCCAGAATACTCTAGAGTACTATGGGAGACTTTAGAATTTTATAAAGTATTTTTAGAATCTTCTTGAGTCATTTCCAAGATTAAGGGTTCCAAAAGTTAATAAGTTGTCTAGTAACTTGATGACGTCATCTGGGGTGCCTTATAGAGATTTGCATTATGTTGAGGTACCACAGATGACGTCACAAAAGTTATCCAGTTCAGCCATACCTTTTCCATCATTGCAATCTTGAAAATCCAGGATTTATGAGAGTCCGGCCGGTATAAATAAAAATAGGCCTTAACGCGTTTCAATAGTAGTGGTGGAGAACTATCGATATCATCGATAGTTATTATCGATAGTTAATTTTCATAAATAAAAAAGTGAAATAAAGTACTAAGGCCTAGTTGTACAATCTTGGTTCAAAACAGAGTTTAGCTGAACTCGACTGGTACTTGAACTTCCCCATTTGAAATGCATTGCTGTCAAAATTGACAGAATTTGATTAATAGCTGACAGCAATGTATTTTAAATGGGAAAGCTCAAGTACCTACCAGTCGAGTTCAGTTGAATTTTGGTTTGAACCCAAATTGTACAACTGGGCCTTAATAATGAAATTGAAAAATAAAAATATTAAAAACTTTCATTTTCTGAAATACAATAATTTTACTATTTTGATTATAAATATACGATACGGTCCAGTGACGCATTACTCGCACTAATGCATAAAAATATATTTTTGTCCTTTTCTTTTACATGCTGGGTGAGGTGAAATAGACACAGATACAACTCAGTACGTACTAAAGCCACTGAATAACCAATAGAATTCGTTATAAGCAGGAGTGTCTACTATCGAAAAAATTATCGATAGTCAGTAGGAACAAACGAAGTTAACGTTGGCATATTCTTAATTCTATACTTACTTCGTTTCTAAGAAGGTCTCCAGACGATAAATGAGTGAACCCATACTTGGCAACAATGCGATCGCACTGGGTACCTTTTCCAGAACCTGGACCTCCCAGAATCCAAATGATCGGGACATTAATGTCGGGAATAGGAGCCTAAATTTAAAACAATATTGAAATCCTATTATGTAATAAAATAAATAAAAATTGCAATAGACTAATGCACTCACCATTGTCCGAATCTAATTAGTTTTTAGATTGGACTTGACCGCGACAATAGAAACAATAATATTGCACTGAAATAACTTTGAAATGAGGCTTTTGGTTTTGCGATATAAAAATTGGCAGCCAAGTCGTCAAATCAAGGTCAAAAGCGGCTTAAAATAAACACACCGTTCCATAGAAATATTAATTTAATTGGATAATAAGGTAAATATTATCTAATGAATTGAGTTTTTTACGGTAAAATTTGGATTTTATTCTGCGGGATATCTCTAATTAGATAATTATTGGAGTAGAGTTTTTGTGTATCAAAGGAATTCTTTTGGAAATGGTTGAAAAAGGCAGTAAATAAAAAATGTAAAAATAGACAGTTATTTGTGCGCTTTATTTGAACTTTGAACTATAGCCACAAATCATTGAAATGCTATTCTTGTATAGGATTCTACAATACTGACTTTATAGAAATCTGTAAAAATCTCTTTCTATTTATTAAAATACTATTCTTGTATAGAACTCTGCATTACCGACTCTATAGAATTTATTCAGTGCAGTGGTGTAAGTGATATTTCAACCCCTGTCAACCCATTATTTTCTCTTTAAATTTATGATTTTACTACTGTCAGAACCTTGTCGTCATTGTTAAGTCAAACACATATTTTTTCCCTTTAACAGTTTATTGAAAGTATTATGTTTATCACTGTTTTATCAATCTGACACAATTGACGTGTCTCGCAGAAATAGAAAAAGAGAGCTTAATTGTAATAAATACAAGTTAGAAAGTAATAAAAAATGACATGCGCGCGCAACTCGTGGCTGCAGTGTAGCCAAATTGTATTGTTGCAGAACAAATGTAGACAATACAAAATCGAACATTATAACATTAAAGAAGTGATATAGTTTTAAGTGTTTTACAACGCCTCAAATCAGACAAAAGAATAAGAGCTTTAAAGTGTATGTTAACACCGATGGCACTTTTATTTTGATAAATGTTTCATCCGGCAATATCGCACAATGGAAATATGTCAAGTATAATTTAACATAACCTTAAACGAAACTGCGGTGAGTGCAAGTAATACGTAAAGTATTAGTTTGCTCTTTGTCGAATTACACGTTACAAAGAAAGAAGAAACGATTAATTCTGAACTCGTCCCTGAATACGAATATAACGCAAGCCCGTAACAAACTCAATTTTCATTGGACACTCACCTGCAACCCACGAGTTGCGCGTGCACACCAGGGCTGCGTTCAAAAACGGCTAAAGCCAAGTCAAAATTGGCATATTGCGTTCAAGTTCGGCTCCAGCGTGCCAAAAACGGTTGGCTTTACACGTTCAGAATCGGCCGCGGTAAAGTAACTTTTGGAGGTGCTTTTGACTGAGTCTAGAAATGGTTATACGAATTTTGATTGGATGAGACCAAATTCAATATGGCGTGGCGGCCAGCAAGTTAGTTTTGAATATGTGTTTTCATGCATATTTCAATTGTTTTGCTTGTAGCTTTGATTTTGATTATTCAATAAAATATTTGTAGGTACGTAAACTATTGAGTTGGGCAGAAACTAGATATTTTTTTGTGTCTTTTCGTCCATGTGTGGACGCCACGCCATCTTGAATGTCACGTGGTTTGGATTGCCTAATTGAGAAACGGTATTTGGCGTTCCAGCAAATTCACACCAGATTTGGCATTGCCGGTAGAAGGGGAAATGTAAGTTTTGGCATTAGCATTGCCGTCTTTGAACGCACTCGTATTACGAGACACGTCAATTTTGACATTACTTGTGTCCAAATGCGTTACGTGCATTACTGTCAAAAAATGTACACTTTGCCATTTGACATATTTCTTATTTCTAACATCAATGTAGTTTAACATTTTTAAAAGGGGAAGTTCAAGTATTAGTAGAGTTCAACTTAAGTCACTGTTTGAATTGATTGTACAACCGGCCTTAATAATGACAAAAGATGAGTGACTAGTGACAATATAAGTATTTACAGTTTTCTATAAAGTCGGTAATACAAAGTACTATACAAGAATAGCATTTGTAGCAGTGGCGGCTCGTCAGAGGAGGCAGGGGAGGCTAAACCACCCTCAAAAAATTGAAAATTCAATCTCAATTTTTTATTCCTGATTTCTAATTAAAATAATAATTCACAAATTACACTTTCCAAATTTCGATATTTCAATGTAATTTAGAAAAATGTGACAACATTATTTCAATCAATCCCGCGCTTCCACGACAAAAATCTGTGAATCTGAGATACTCAGTAATACGGGCCCGAAGGGCCGGAGTCATATGCGAGCCCGAAGGGCCGAAATAATACGAGCCCGAAGGGCTAGAGTTATACGCGAGCCCGAAGGGCCGGAGTTATACGCGAGCCCGAAGGGCCAGAGTTATACGCGAGCTCGACGGGCTACAGTTATTTTAATCACGGGGTTCAGTCTATAATTCTATTGGTCAGTAGATAATTTAGAGCCAATTAAAAACCGGAAGTATTAAAAATGCGATTTTTAGCGTCCGATCAAAGAGCCGGGAATATTCAAAAATTTTAGTTTTATCAAATAGACCTATTTTTACCTGGTATGCGCGCGCAACACGAGGCAATGTCTTTTTATTGGCTAGCTAATGCAGGTGTGAGGTGATCGTTTTGCACGCTGGGCATCTCTTTTTCCTTGTTCATTGCACGTGATCTGACAAGAATAAATTTAAAGTTGATATTCAATTTGACAAGTGTCATTCAAAAGTTGTTTGACATTTTCATTGACAAATACGTTGCACAACACGCGGTTTTTCTCCTTTTCTTTTTATCCTGTGCAAATAAGAAGAACGGATTGCTATACGTAAGTCTAACATAATTTGGTACGTTTTGTCTCGTCTTGCGCAATGAGCGTTCTGTGTCTTTTTTTATTTAATGAAGTTTTCGTATTATTACCTCTTTGTCTGGTAAAATAGATAGGTCTATTGATTTTGGAATGTTGGTTTTTTTAAGATTTTTAAGTTTTTCAGAAAACGCGGTGGTTTTTGCAAACATATACTACTTTATCGTTGTCTTTGTCTTACTCACTATAATTAATAAGGAAACCTTGTAATGTCATTTTCATTGAAATTAAACTATGTAAAAACAAGTTTCCTATGATTTATTTGGGGAAGTTTAATTATTATAATCATTATTAATTATTTATTAAATTGAATTTTAAACAAAAAACTCTTTTAAAATGTTATTTTTGTTTTCGGAGATGTGATGTGGCAACGTTGGCCATTTTGAAGTGACGCCTTGTGATTTTTTGCCAGTTTTTTCTCGAATTTTCGACTGTTCCGGAGTTTTTTAATGGAAAAAAGCGATTTAACATACGAAGCTTTGAGTTTTCTTCATTTTTTAGTTGAAATTTCTAGTTTTAAATACCATAATTAGCAAAATCCCATTTAAAATGCTTTTGATGTGGCAACATTGCTTGTGGCTAAAAATCAAGGAATCATTTTTGACAGTCGGCCATTTTCAATTGACGTGTTTACATTTTTATTCAGTTTTTCTTCGAATTTCCACTTTTTCGGAGCTTTTTCAGTCAGGAAAACTGATTTAAAGTACGAGGCTTTGAGTTTTCTTCATTTTCCACCAAAAATTTCCAGTGTTTTAACGGGGTAAGTGAGAAAAACTTTAGTTTTGTCAAGTAGGTTTTGGAATGTCATTTTCGTTGTTTTTTTTTTTAGAATTTTTATTTAAGGTTTTTGGGGTCCGGGGATCGTTTTCTATTACTTTTTTACTCGAAATTTACAAAATAAAAAAAATAAACTTTTTTGACGTTGACAGCTGTCAAATTTTTTTGACACAAATCGATAGCTGGCGTCGTGAAACTGCCTTGTACCGGGGTTTGATTTTTGTAGCTTTTATAGTAGAGCGGGGAAAAAGTCGAACATGAGTCAAATTTGACAGGTGACATCTGTCGATATTGCCAAAGTGTCGTGCGACAAAAGTTTTATCCGAACCCGTTCATTGTTAACTGATTTTAATACTCCGGCCCTTCGGGCCGTAATCTTTGTACAAAAAGACGTCATTTTGTATCGATTGTCAAAAAAACCCAAGGTTTGAAATTTCAATTTTTTGACGTTTGTTGTATCATAAGCAGTATTGCCATATGTTTTTTTTTTTTCAAATCTAGAGCTCGAAGGGCCAAGATTATAGGTTATTTTAAAGCCAATCAAGAGCCGGGAATATTCAAAATTTAAAGCCAATCAAAAGCCGGGAATAATTAAAATTCAAATTCCCAAACCAATCAGGAGCCGGGAAAATTCAAAAAATTCGAATTCCAAACCCGACGGGAAATTGAATTTTTTGTAGCAACTGTTGCTACATGTTGTTACATAAATCTCACCCACTAAAAAACGACCTTTGTTTTTCGGAAAAAACAAAAGTTTTTTTTTTTTTTGAGATTGACAGCTGTCAAAATTTTAAAAAACCTACATGGGCATATAGATTTAACCTCGGCGAATACGTAGAAAGTAGCCAAACAGTGCTAATTTTTTGACGTTTGTTGTATTATAAGCAGTGTTGCCATATGTTTTTTTTTCGAATCTCGATTCTGGAAGGCTGAGGTTATCTCAATTATGAGCTCAAAGGGCCAAGGTTATATTAGTCCGAAGGGCCGGAATCATGCGAATCCGAAGGGCCGGAGTTATTATACGGATCCGCGTTGATTGTTAACTGATTTTAATATTTTGGCCCTTCGGATCGTAATCTTTGAAACAAAAAGACGCCATTTTATATCAACTGTCAAAAAAACCAAGGCCTATTTTGATATTTTAATTTTTTAACGTTTGTTGTATCATGAGCAGCGTTGCCATGTTTTTATCAAATCTCGATTTATAGGTTATTTTAAACCCAATCATTGACATTTCTGAAAAATATTTCCTTTAAAATTCCCAAATATCCTTTGGAATCCCCAAAAATCTATTAAAATCTCAGAATTCCATAATTTAGTGGAATTTTGAGGAATTTCGGTAGAATAATTATGTTAGTCTGAAAAAGGAATTACATGTGAAAATTTCCATAGAATTCACATTAAATTTTAATTCCTCTCGAATTACTTGAAATTTGAGTGAAATTCCGATCGAATTACACAAAATCCTAAATAAATAACATGGAGGAATTTTAAACAATTACATAAAATTACACCTAAATTCCCAACATGAAATTTCAGTTTTTACTGAATTTCAGTAATGCCGAGGAATTTCCAGCTAAAAACATGAAATTTAAATATATTTCGATGAATTTTTAAGAAATCACTTGAAACTTCATTAATATTCCCAGAAATTCCTGGCTATTAAAAGAGAATTTCAGTGAAATTCCGAAAAATTCTTATGGAAATAAATTAAATTTTGAAAATTCCTTGAAGTTTCATTGGACTTTCGAGAAATTTTCGGTTATGAACGTGGATATTCTCATAAAATTTTAGTGAATTCCGAGAAATTTTCAAGAATTTACATGAAATGTCAATGAAATTCCGTAGAATTTTATGAAAATTTTGTAGAATTCCAAGATATTTCAATGGTAAAACTTTGAGGAATTTTAGTAAAGTTAAAAAAAATATAATGCAATTTTGAAATTGAATTCTGAGGAATTTCATGAAATGCGATACTGTAATTCCAAAAAAAAAATTTGTCCAAGAATTCCATAAAATCTTCTAATGAAATGTTAAGGTATTTATTTCTATGGAATTACTTAAAATTTTCGCGGAATTCCCATGAAATAACTTAAAATTTTAATGGAATTCCAAAGAACTTTGATGAAATCTTCGAGAGGTTAATCACTCCCCGAAATCGTATCACAAATCCGTCCGAAATCCACGATATTACTGCGAAATTCCTTCGGAATCTTTCAGAAATCTTTCTGTAAACCCAAAAATCTCTCGCAATTGTCTCAAAATTCATAAATCATAATCACTGAAAGACTTTAAAATCTTTCAGCCTCCTCACTTGAAATAGTCACGAGCCGCCACTGATTTGTAGTGCAGTCTATTATGTTCTAACTACTCAGATAGATTTCAACTACACCATTATTTTGAGCTTGGACTGTACTAATTTTAACAAAAAATTAGTATTTAACATTGAAAAATTCTCACCTGTTGTGCTCTAATTACACAAATAACGATAATAAACACAATTATAATAAAAAGAAGATTCAGGTAACTCATCAAAAACGTTCACGATACTAAAAATACTCGAAATTCGGTCAGACAAAAACATTGCTCTAGTGTGGGAGTTTAAAATTAAAAATAAATAATATTGTGTTTTCTAAAATTACAAATTTTATAAATACTCAACTCAGCTGAGGTCGAAGTTATTTTTTTTTTACTCAAGCTCTACATATAGTAATTTATCAAATTAAGACTTACATTATTTTCTATTGAACTCATATCCCTCAAATTAGCCCTTTTTACTGCTCAAGGGCTGAAACTAGAAATTGCACTGCCTCTCAGCAAATAAATATTCCTGCTGTGTAACCTAGTTTCGCAGGACCGAACTTTCTTGCTGGAAAGATCGATAATATACTTGAACTAGTAGTATCATGAAAACGCTTTCAAATTATTAATAATTATATATTATTAGCAGAAGTTTTATTGAAAAACAAAAAAAATGTTCCTGGAAATTTACTGTAGCAGAAACTAGAAGTAGAAAATTACCACATTAAAAAAAGTTTATCGCAGTGGAAAGTGCAGGACAGAACAGAAAGTGTAGAACAGAAAGTGTAGATCAAAAAGTCTAAAACAAAAAGTGTAAAACAAAAAATGCAAAAAAGGTATTGAAATAAACCCAATTTTGTCTCTAGAATTCGTCCTTACAATTATCCCTAATAAATAATAATAATAATACCCTATAA